CCTCCTCCCTCCTCTTCCTCCTCCTCCTCCTCCTTCTCATCCTCCTCCTCCTCCTCCTCGTCCTCCTCCTCCTCATCCTCTCCTCCTCTTCCTCCTCCTCCCCTCCTCCCCTCCTCCCTCGCCCGCCCCCGCCCCCTCCTCGTCCTCCTCCTCCTCCTCCTCCTCCTCGTCGTCCTCCTCGTCGTCCTCCTCGTCGTCCTCGTCGTCGTCGTCCTCCTCCTCCTCCTCCTCCTCCTCCTCCTCCTCCTCCTCCTCCTCCTCCTCCTCCTCTCCCTCCTCTTCCTAGGTGGCTCCGCGGCGGGGCCCCGCAGCCGTTTGTTTCCTGGGGCGGGCACGGGGCCGCGGGGACCGCGATCGCGGCAGCCCCCAGCGCCTCAGGCGCGACGCTGGCCCTCGGTTGGCAACCTACCTCGTCCCCCTGAAGGGTGGGGCCGAGGGCCAGCAAGACGAGCGCGAGGAAGCGCAGCCCGTCCCCCGCCTGGCACATGCGGCTGCGCCGCCAGCGCTCCACAGCGCGGCAGGTGCTGCAGGCGGCCAAGCACTTCGCGACGCTGGACGCGCACCACGGCAGCGCGGCGCCGAGGATGGGGCGAGGGGGCCAGCAGAAGGGCCAGGCGGCAGGAGGCAACTGGCGTGAGGACGCAGGCTGGCGAGGAGAGGCGAACTGGCAGCAGCACAGCGGACAGTACGTGGCGTGCAAGGTCTGCTCAGACTGGTGGTACAAGGACCGCCTGCAGAGCCTCACCTTCACCTGCAGCTGCGGCCGCACCTTGCCTGGCAACAATACGCAGCAGCAGCAGCAGCAGCAGCAGCAAGGCCGGGACACCAACCCGCTGCTCGCGCTGCTGGGACAGGGCGCAGCCCCAGGCGCCAAGGGCGGCGGAAAGGGAGGGGGCAAGAACGCCACCGCGGAGCTTGCCCAGGCGCTGACGATGGTCACCAGCTCACTGAGCAGCCTGCAGCTGGAGGACGGAGAAGCCATCAGGAGGCAGCTCGCGGGGGCGGCCACGGCCCTGCAGGCAGCGACGCCAGCGGCTGCACCCAAGCAGCCACGCGCGGTGCGACTGGCCGCGGCGGCGCGCACACTGGAGACGGCCAACCTCCAGTACTCGACGGCCTTCAAGGCCAAGCAGGGGGCCGACCATGCGGCGGCGAAGGCCGAGGAGCTCCTCGACGAGAGAGCGGCGGCGGCGTTGGCGGCGGGGGCGGAGATCGACGCGATCAACGCCGAGGGCAGAGAGGCCCCGTTGCCGCAGCAGGGCATCGTCGAGCAGCTCGTCAGCGGGGCGATCGACGAGCGCACCGAGGGGCAGCTCTTGGAAGACATCGCCAGGGAGTTCGACCTGGCGGAGGAGGACCGTGACGAAGAAGCAAAGGCGGAGGTGGCAGCGGCGAAAGCGCAGGTAGTCAGCCAGCTGAAAGCCAACGCGCAGAGTTTCACGGGCCAGCTCAGAGAGCGCATGGCAGCGGCCAAGCAGAGGGTCCAGGCGCACAAGCAGACCATCACGCAGGCGGCGAAGAAACGAAAAACATAATCAGGTCCAGTGGCAGCGGCGCCGGCAGAGGAGGCGGCTAAGGAAGCACCTGCAGCGCGAGCGGAGGCCACAGGAGGTGGAGGTGATGGAGGACCAGCAACAGCGAGCTCCGCTGGTGCAAAGGCGGAGGCGGCGGCATCGCCAGAGGAGAAGTACTTGCAGGAACTGGGAGCGGCCAAGGGTGAGGGCAAAGGCGGCGCGGGCGGCGCCGACGGCCATTGACAGCCAGCGCGAGGAGCCCGCCGTGTTCGAGGAGGCGGCGGCGGGGTCCGACAGCGCACGCTACTATGCGCCAACCTCACTACTTGGGGGCCCGCAGCGCGGCTGTGGCTAGAACAACAAAAGACGGAGGAGGGCTACGACGCGTACGCGTTCCAGGAGACGCACATCGCTGGAGGGGGCCACTTGGACAAGGCGGAGCACGAGCTTGTGAAGATGGGCGACGCGCCGTGCCTCACCGCAGCGCGCGGCAGCCAGCGCTCCGAGCAGGGGACTAGTGGAGGAACGGCGGTGATCTTGCGAGGCCACCTCCGAGCCTCCAGTTTCAGGGCTAAGGCAGCAGATCCGAGGGCGACGACTGCGGCGACTACATGTAAGGGCACGCGCGTGAAGGACTTGGACATGTGCGACTGGACCCCAGTCACCTGGCACATGAAGGGGGCGTCCATCACGGTGGTGAGCCTCTCGCCTGGTTCACCGTCGCCAAGTAGCTGGGCGCGCGGGCCCAGGGCCAGCGCCATGAACGCTGAGGACCTCGACCCGTTCGACGAACTCAGCTACCACGAGGAGCTGGAGCCCGAGCAGGTGGAGGACCAGGACCAGAGCGAGCAGCAGGAGGACCAGCCGGCAGGAGGAGGCAGCCAGGAGGAGGCGAGCAGCCTCGGGGAGCGAGGAGGTGCGCCTGAGAAGGCCGAGCGCAGGGCTCGCGGCGTAGGCCGGAGGCGGCAGCGCACCACACTCGCGCCCCGAGACCCAGGACATCGAGGGCGGCCAGGAGGGGGCTACTTGCTGGACTTGCTCAGGCAGTCGGGGGCAACCTGGGATGCATCTGCCCCAGCGACGGCAAAGCTGCTCGCGCCAGCCTGGCGCGGCAGCGGAGGGGGAAGAGAAAACATCCAAGGGAAAGATGGACGAGCTGAAGCATCGCCAACTCAGGCGAGACACTACCCTGATGAGCGACTACTGGGAGGTTGCCCACATCCTGGAGATGTAGACCGAGCACCGCGCCGAGGCCCCAGAGTACATCCGCATGAGCGCCGCGTTCAAGGTAGACGAGGAGGCCTCGCTGGCTATTGGAGGCCAGTGCGCGAATATCATGGGCACGGTCGAGAGGTTCTACTGCTTGGCCTACCATATTGAACCAGGCGACAGGAGGGTTCACAGGACGTGGACAAGGCTACAAGCTGGAGGAGACCGACAGCACAGAGAAGGGCGAGAGAAGGACGAGATTCAAGGACATGAAGGCAGACTGGCGGGCAAGGGTTGAGACCACCCTCAGCCTACTGGCGAAACTCAGGACGAGAGGCAGAGGGTTGAGGCAGCAGGAGGAGATGGCGCGAGCAGGGCGGCAACTGGCATGCACCGTGCCACCGCTGAAGGGCTCGCCATCCACCACGGCGCAGCTGCACCACGCCATCTGGCAGCACAGGCTCAGGAAGCTCGAGGAGATCGACAACGGCGTCATCCAGGGCATGGCTGCACAGGCTGAGGAGGAAAGACAGGCTGCGACCAGAAGGGGCTACAGGGAGAGCGCAAGGAGCTTCTGCCAGTGGCTGGCAGACACCGAGGCCAAACCAGGAATCCTACATCGCATCACCAAGCCGCCCCTGCGGAGAGAGGAGGAGATCGCCATAGAGAACCACACCGCGGACAGCCCCTTGGAGATAGCGGGCGCCAAGATGCGAGACTTCACCAAGGTTTGGCAGGACGACGGCACCCCACGCAGCAAGCACACGGAGCTGCTGAATGCGCTGAGAGAGCAGGCGCGGAACACGGAGGAACACTTCTGGACGTTGGAGGATCTGGGCATGGCGCTGCAGGGGGGGCCCGACCGCGGGCAAGGCGTGGACAAGCTCACGTGCAGCGGCCTGGGGAGGCTGCCACCTGAGGGCAGGCAGGCGATCGTGGAGTTGTTCAACATGTGCGAACGCGATCTGATGTGGCCGTGGCAGCTCCTCTGCTCGCTGGTGATGGTCACGCCCAAACCAGCTAAGGGCGACAGGGCGCTGGCATTGCTACCGCAGCTGGTTCGCACGTGGGAACTTCTACACCGACCAGCCGCCCGCAGATGGGCCAAGGAGCACGAGAAGTACTGAGATGCGGCCACGGCAAGCAACAGCTGCTTGAGGGAGGCCATGAGGAGAACCGTCACGGACGAGTGCTGCGACGAGCTGCGCATCTTCCAGGGGTGCACGCTGGCGGACATCGAGAAGTTCAACGACAGCCTTCGACTGGACACGCTGATACCAGAGGCGTTGCGCATGGGCTTCGACGCCAGAATCATGCTTATGCTTATGCTCAGCATTCCAGCACGCGCTTCCTGAGGTGCAAGTGCAGCTGCTCGGAGGCGGTCGTAGCGGACCGATCGATCCTGGCGGGGTCGAGGCACCCCAACAACATAGCCAAAACGGTGGTGCACGCAGTCATCGCCAGCATGCTGGACAGGACCAGGGCAGGCCCGACACCCCAACCGAGAGCGTGGTTCGACGACATCAGCGTCAGGATCATGTGCAGCCAGGACAGCGTCATCCCGCATATGGTCACACCCACGGAGGTGCTGAAGCAGGATTTAGAGAAGCACGGCCTCAGGCTCGCGGGCAAAACGGTGATCATGACCTCGGACATCAAGGCCACGAGAGACAACAGCAAGGCGCTCAAGGCGAGAGCAGTCATCGCGAAGGCGGTCAGCGAGGGCAGAGACCTAGGAGCAGACAGGGCGGCCAAGGGCACTGCAATGAGGAGAACCCATGGAGCGAGGTGGCGCGCGGCAGAGACCAGATTCGGACAGGTGGACAGCAATCTCAAGAAGTTGGAGATCGGCAGGCGACGAGGAGTAGTACACCAGGGGCCCCAAGCATCACTCAAATACGGCGCAGCGTCCACGGTCTCAGCCCGCAGGCCATGACAAGAGCGAGGAGACGCGACGCGCAGGCTTTGCGAAGGGCATGGCCAGGAAGATGCTTGACAACATAGCTGGCGCTGGAGGGAGTGCACCCCAAGACATCCACCACCAAGGGCCAGCTCAAGGCGTGGTTCGACCTCTGGAGCAGGTGCCCAGACATACGAGCACAGGCCAGGATAGCGCGGCCCAAGGTGGACTTCAGGCTGGCCAACACGGAGGTGAAGAAGAGATGGCATCAGGGGAGAGGCGTTATGGGGAGCATCAGCTTGCTGCTCTGGTCGGCAGGCTGGGACGCGAGAGGCCCGGGCATCTGGGTCGACAAGAGCGGCGACATGTGGAAGTTCCCAGAGGGCGAGGAGGAAGGAGACCCCGACGAAAACATCGCGGCGCTCCTCCAAGACATCACGAAGGCGCAGTGGGAGGAGGCCAGCAAGCACTACAACGGAGGAACAGAAGAGGGCGTCGACACCAAGGACATCATACGGCACCTGGAGAACTTACGCAAGCGCGGCAACTACTGCGAGCACGGCGCGCTGCTCACGGCAGCATGCGCGGGTACCTGGACCAGGGCGAGACGTGCAAAGCACTACGGGGGCGAGGACAACATGTGCGAGCGCGGCGAGGAGGACACGGACTTCCACAGGATCTGGGGCCACTGCAGCGCCAGGGAACCGCACGACATCTACGAGAAGACTGCAGGCCTGGCGGAGCGAGCCCGAGATGAAGCAGGCGCGAACCCGATTCTCTGGCTGAGGGTGTTGGCACCACCCACATGGACTACGCCACCGACATGCGATACAGAGGAGGGACTCGAGGTGAACCTGGGGCTAGCGACAGGGCGCGCGCAGCGCGACCTGCAGGCGGAGGGGGGCAAGGAGCTCACAGCCTGCGGAGACGGCTCAGGAGGCGAGTACAACAACGACGACAGGCACCGTAGGTGCGGCTGGAGCTGGACCATCCTGGACACCGAGGGCAAGCTCAAGGACTTCGAGCTGAAGGCAGGGCAGTTCGGAGCGCTGCCAGGAGCGAGACAAACCAACAATCGGGCCGAGCTGTTCGCGCTGATCAAGTGCATGGAGGAGACCAGAGGGCCCATCACCTTCTGGACCGACAGCGAAATCACCTTCCTGGACTGGAACGCGGAGCGCGACACCAAGAAGGAGTTCACAGGTCCCAACGCCGACCTATGGCGCAGACTAGGCAGCGTACTACAGGCACGAGGAGGACGACATGAGCTTCGAGTGCGACACATGAACAGCCACTTGACGGAGGAGGAGGCGGAGACGAAGTCAATGCCCAGAGAGGCCTGGGAAAGGCAACAGAGCGGCGGACAAGTACGCGGAGCAGGGAGCGAGGTTACACGCCATCCCCAGGAACGAGATGAACTGCTACGAATGGGCGCGGGCGACAGCGGCACTGGTGAGGACGAGGATCGCGATCAACACCAAGGACTGCCTAGCCAGGAGGCCCAGTGACAGCAGGGAGCTTCGGCGCGCACGGCTACTAGCAGCACGAGAGAGGAGGAGGAGGCGCAAGCTCAAGGCCTGCTACTTCGACAACGCCGAGACGGAGGAGATGGCTACCACGCACCTGTTTGTAAGGCCGAGGAGAGGACGCGGTTGGACATGCAGGTGCTGCAACGAGACGATCATGCAGAGCACCACCAGCCTCGAGACAGTCAAGACATGGCTGCAGGAAGGCTGCAAGGGGCCGCCACCAGAGACAGGCAGAGGGGTCGTCTACAACGGGATCCAGGCCCACGAGACACACGAGCTACGAAGGCTGGGACGAGAACGGAGATGGTACTGCCGAAGGTGCGCGAGCTCGGTGACAGAGTACGTCAGCGATAGACTACAGCAGGAGTGCGAGGGGGCGCCAAGCTGTAACTCGATGAAGCACAAGCTGAAGGCCTGGGAGACGCTCGCGGACTTGGACCACTGGAGGCGAGAAAATGCAGTTCCACCAGACCTTGGCCAGCCTGGCCATAAGCCAAGCCAGCCTGGCTTGAGCAACAAGGAGCCCAGCGACGACCAGAATGACACTGGCCTGGGGCAGCTCGGAAATTTCGAGGTCGGAAGCGCACCGTCCTGGTCCTTGGGGGCGGCGGATGCGCAGGAGGCCCTCCGCTCCGAGGGGGAGGTGTCGGGTGGAACCTTGCGGCGACCACTGTAGCCTCCCCCTCCTTCGGGAGGTTTTCGTCGCCACAATGCTGGACGCCCAGGCCTGAAGGGCCCGCAGAAGACGGCAACGGAAGCCTCAAGGTGGAGATCGAGACCGAGAATGAGGAGGCAGCCGAGGCCAGGAGGAGACGATGGACGCAGAGACTCCTGAGCGCGGCGAGAGGACCAGGGAGGCCAGAGGAGGCGAGAGCAGGGGCCAGCCTGGCCCAGCCGCCGCGCCAGCCTGGCAGCGGCAGAGAGGAGAGCCCGAGGGGCGAAGACGCGGCGGCGCCGCGGCTGGAGGCCAGAGAAGGCGAGCCCCAGAATTTCGATGCCACCTCCTGTTGTCTGGGAGCTGGTTCCCAACCTGAGGTCGCACTCAATTTCGGGACCGTGGTGTTCACGCCTCTCCCGGAACACGGCGGCGAAGGGAAAAGCCAGCCTGAGGCGAGGAAGCCGCCACAGGGCGCGGCGACACCCCCCAGCCGCCAGCGCCGCGGAGCCAGCACGGCGCGGCCGCGGCAGCAGGCAGAGGAAGCCCGAGGGGCCAGCTCAGAAGCCGCCGCTCGGCGCAGAGAGGGCCCGCGTGGGTGGCCCCGCACGGCGCGACGGCCTGCGAGCGCTGAGGGGGCGCCGTGTGCCGCGCGCGGTGGCGCGGGCGAGACCCTGCGTGCGCAGGGAGGGA